ATGTTAATTACAAAAATAATCAACACAAAGACACCTTACCCTGAAGTTCACCATGATTTAAGAAGTCTCTATCAAGCCATTTACCCAATCATTTTAAGATAGTACTTTATATAAAGGTATTTCCACTGGCACTGGAAGAGATATGTTACATTCAATGCTGTGGAAGAACAGATGTGAAGTGTGTGAATGCCAGAGACCACTGTACTGTATTGCTTCATTGGGTTGCACCTGTAAAGCAGATCTTAGTAGGAAATATTTTGCAACAGAGTGCCATGCATATCTAGTTTGAAATAAATCCTACTGAATTCAGTCTGACTTACTGCAAGGTAAATGGATGCCGGAAATATTTTTAGCAATATGGGATGATATTGAACACAGGTACATCAGACTGTAGTATTTTGGCCAAATCATGAGAAGGCACAAATCATTAGAAAAAAACAATGATGCTGGGAAAGGTAGAGGATAGTAAAAAGAGAGGAAGACTACATGCCAAATGGTTAGATTTGATCAGGGAGGCAATAGGCCCGAGCTTGCAGGACTTTAGCAGAGAGGCTGAGGACAAGGGGTCCTGGAGATGTCTCATCCACAGGGTTGCTATGAGTCGACCTTGACTTGGGAATAGATGACAACAACAACAACAATCAAACATCTTAAAAACAATGGATACAGCTCTGCCTCCTTCTTCACTTCCGTAACAAGGAGTTTACTGTTACCACAGAATGGAGACAATCTGAGGAAGAATACCACTGCTTTCTGGTCCCAAAAGTTCTTATGTCTGGGCAAATGTGTTGCTGGTTTGTCATTCACAAGACTAGGCCTATGGCATGTGTTACTTAGCAGCAGGCTTCTCATCTTTGCGTAAAGGCTGGTTCTCTATTTCCTAATTACTCCTGCAACACTCAAGTGACCGTTTTTCCTTTCTTAGCAACAACTACTCAGCAAACTGTCTCTCCCAAAGTTTACAAGTACCAGTAAGCCTACAAAAATGTAGCTTTGCATTAGTGATTTCATTTCTAGGAACATATTGCACAGGTAATAGCTTGGGTCTCACAAATGTTCAAAAAGATAGCAATAGGATGACCAAACTCCTCCAGCCCTTGTACTTTTAGCAATCATGTTATCTCAAGTGGTGGTCCGTGGATCAGTGCCAGTCCATGAGCTGTTGGTTGCCAGTCCATAGTTTCCAGGAAAGAAAGAAAGGCACAAATAGGGTCTCAGATGCTGGTGCAACAGGAGGGGGACTCTGCTGACCAGTCCACCTCAGACATCTTAAAGAGCGCTAAAGCAGAAGAAAGAAGCTTGCTCAGTAAAGCTTGTCATGTAGAAGAAAGAGAAGCTACACCTACAAAAATTCTATCTTCCACCCTTCTTTGCATTTGTCCATCAAAGACAACCCACAAAATGCAAATAGTATGAAACACTGTTAACAGCTGTATATAAGCTGCTAGAGCAGGGGTTGAATTATGTCTGGTGCTTGAAATGTTGCTGGACATTTGCATCACGCCATTTCTCACGGGAGAGTTCCCAGCATTCTTTGCCCTTGATTATCTGACTAGGCCTGATGGGAGTCGCGGTCCAACATCTGAAGAGCAACATATTTCCAACTTCTATGTTAAAAGATTCAAGAAGAGAGGGTAGGGCTTGTGTTTCTATAAGCAGAAAACTCTAAACCACAATATAATGAGCTGCTGACTCTAAATGTAACGCAGAAACTTTTATTTTAAAACTGTTTTCTCTAGATCTTCACTCTCATGGGCATCTACTGAGGATTAATAATCATGTCTACTATGGTACAATCAGTCCTCCATATCCATGGATTTTTTATCCATGGATTCAAGCATCCACGGTTTTAAAATATTTTTAAAATATATAAATTTCCCAAAGCAAACCTTGATTTTTCCATTTTATACAAGGAACACCATCTTACTATGCCATTGTATTTAATGAGACTTGTGTATCTACAGATTTTGGTATCAATGGGGAGTCCTGGAACCAAAACCCAGCGGATACCAAGGCCCCACTGTAACACAAGCATTTCTACCTCACAATGGCACATTAATTCTAAAATCACACTAATTTTGGTTTCATCAGTACTATGGGGGGTTGCAGACTGCCAGAAATAGTGCAAATTGAGTCCACTTTTAGGGTTAGGGTTAGTGCTAGGGAATCAAGGGAATTGGTTTTTTTTTCTGAGACATTGAGCCTTCTCTGTCAGAGAGCTCTGGTGCCACAATAAAATACAGTTCCCATGATTCCCTAACCCTAATCCTAACCCTAAAAGTAGACTCAATTTGCACTATTTCTGGCAGTCTGCAACCCCCCTATGTGTCACTATGGTTACCTAGACTCCGTGGTTTTAAATTAATTGGAAAATGCCAGTAAAAGCCTTGAGGATTTTACTCTTCTCAGGCCTCCAAAGCGGCTCATCCACCCAAACACAATGTTTTACCTGTAGGTTCCTAAAGGATGGCATGGTGGTCTTCAGTTGGGGTTCAAAACCAGAAGGAAGAGGGGTTAACTTTCATCCAATATGATCAAAAATCCAGGTTTGGGGAAAGTTCTTATCTGTTGTAAGTCGGGACAGTCAATGGTTCCCTGGACCCCGTTCCCCGTTCCCATCTAGCAGAGCGGGCAGTGACCTCCCAAGAAGAAGCCAGTTTTAGATATTGCTACTCCTTAAACATTGCTTGTACCCAACTTTCTAAAAGGGAAATGGGGAGGGGAAGGGTCAGTTGAACTAATAAAGAGATTCCTTGGGCTAGATTTCCTCTCTCAGGACTTCCTTGAGGCTACATGACTATCATTACCATGACGGCATGGAACGTGGCCACATGAAGGTTCCAGATGGACTGGCAAAGACTGGGCATCCTCCTGGCCCATCGCATTCGTTCCTGAAAAGCTGGGAGAAGGGGAAATAAATCTTTTGAGTCTTTAAAGCCCATTGACCCAACAATATTCTTCGTACCGGAAACTGATGCAGGATGCACAAGATTTCATCATATCCCCCATCTGGTAAGAAAAATGTATGTGTG